ATGACGCACAATTTGGTTTCCGTCCTAAACATAGTACCACGGACGCAATTTTTGCGCTAAACACTATAATTAGTAAATTTCTATACGAGAAGAGGAAACTATACTGTTGCTTCGTTGATTATAAACAATGTTTCGATACTATAGACAGAGCTAAGTTGTGGTACAAATTATCGAAGTAAGGAATAGGTGGCAAATCCCTCTCCGTTATTAAATCCCTTTACCATAATGTGAAAACAGGCATATTGCTCAACGGAAAAAATTCAGACTATTTTGAGAATAGTAGAGGTGTTCTACAGGGAGAGGTGTTGTCCCCTATCTTTTTTCACTTTATGTTAATGACTGTGAATTAGAATTTTTTAAAAATCGTCTGCAACCAGTTGAGGTGAAAGACTTGTCACTTTTTTTACTCATGTACGCGGATGATTTAGTTTTGTCAGCTGATTCTGTAATAGGATTACAAAACATGTTGAACTCATTGGCAATGTATGCTGATAAATGGTCCTTTAATGGCAAATTCTTCAAAGCCCAAAAACAATTAGCCTTGCAGTGTCGTAAAGCGTTGTTTAGTCTGTATAGTGCACTGATATGAGCCTAAATCATAGCATGCTCTTTCATTATTTCATACTTATATATCTAGCATTGCTAACTATGGATGTGAAATCTGGGGGCACCATCGTGCACCAGACCTCGTAAAAGTTCATTTGAACTTTGGGAAATTTATTTTAGCGTTCAACTCCAGATGCAATGATCTATGCTTAATTGAGAAGGTTTCATTTGTCGTGTACTAGGAAAACAAGAATAAAAAAATATTGGTTGAAATTGAGAAAAACAAATAATTGCATCTTACAAGAATGCTTAACCTATCTTATGACTGAAGATATGAATAAAACACCATGTGGCAACAGGCTTTTTAAGGTGCATGACATTCTTATAGAAACAGGCTTTCATGAATTTTGGCTGTATCCAAGTTAATACAATGAAAAGTTTATCGTTTCCCAAGTTAAACAAAAATTAATGGATGTCCAACAGCAAGCTGTATTTTCAGACATAAACTGATCTCGAAAATGCTGGCTATATAGACACCTCATTGACCGTGTTACCATACAATTTTATCTTACGAAGCCAATTCTAGCTCTTTTTATCCAAAAGTACGGTGTTGCAAACTTTTTGGTATGATTGCTAGACCCTTATAACCTAATTCGATGCATTGGGCTACCCATATGAGCCGTTAAAAACGTGGAGTAAGTCTACTTGTGTAGTCCCTGTAAGCTTGGTCTCACATACGTTCAGCAAATGGGGCATGCAGTATTATACGTAATAGTTACAACACGAGTCGATTACTGTATGCGATATGAAAGAGTGTGATCATCGAGGCGCAGCTCGGTTCGCGGAAATGCTGGCTATATAGCCACCTCATTGATCGCGTTACTATGCAATCTTACCTTACGAAGCCAATTCCAGCTAAATATAAAAAATTAATCAGTAAAATTTCTTCGCACAAATTAGCAATAGAGACAAGTAGATGTAGAAAAATCCCACTAGAACAAAGGAAATGACCACATTGTAATGAGATAGAAGACGAGTTCCACTTCGTCCTTGGGTGCTCTCGCTGTATTAGTATCAGGAATAAGTTTATTAAGCCTTTTTTTGTTCTCCTGCTGAATGATCCTGAATACTTCCAGTAAAAAAGAATTATGTAATTTAGCACGATACATTAAACAGGCTGGAAGTATTCAGCAAGGGATCAGATCTCCTACAGCTGTACCAGTATGTATATGTGATTGTATGTATGAGACTAATGGAATATATTATTATAAAGTAAATAAACTATATAAGTGCAGGGCTAGTCGGAGTATTAGGGTAAGTATATGGGCCGAATGTCACCTGTACATAATACTAATGGGGAACGGACTATCATTCCCGTCACACCGGCTATTATACACTTAACAATGGGATCGATATCTAGATATATTAGTAGGCCTACAATAGGCCTACCATCCGCAGTATCAACACATATTTGTAGAGATGTTAGTTTTAACTTGGACATAAGGTTTTAATGTGAAGGGTCGGTTCACGTTTGTGATCTCCGTATACAGTGTAACATGGGGCCTTTACCAGTGTAACATGGGGCACTCCACAATTATCGCTGAACTAAAGGGACCTACATTGTAGGCATATACTAGTACTGTTTATAGAATCCATTATACGTACCTGCGTGTATGATTGCCAGCAACGTAAACAAACAAGTCAAAATGGCCTTAAATTGGACAGCCATGCTCTTTTTTATCCAAAAGTACGGTGTTGGAAACTTTTTTGGTATGATTGCTAGACCCTTATAACCTAATTCAATGCACTGAGACTACCCTTATGAGCCGTTAAAAACGTGGAGTAAGTCTACTGATGTAGCCCCTGTATTCTTGGTCTCCCGTTCAGCAAATGGGTCATGCAGTATCATACATGGATTTACTCTCTTGTACATAATAAATAAAAATACTGTTCATTTAACAATCAGAATTTTTAATGATCCATTGTTTGTTATGGCGATTGGGAGTCACTCGTTACATTTTGTATTGCATAAAGACCTTTGATAAAGAAAATAATATAATAATTAATTAAAAATTATAAGTAAAGATCTGATTGTTAAAGGTGGGCGATAAAATTAATGCATGGGAGGGTGGGAGGGTTATGAAAACGTTGTATAGAAAACGACACCTTACCTCTGCTTGTTGGATTTTCCGTTTAATACAGGTACCTTTGTTCTGTTCGTTTCCGTCCACCTTCCTTTTGTACTTTACCGCCAAATGTTGCGTCTGTGCTTTGTCTACTGATATCACGTGACTTCATGTACGTGTTTCCCCGATGCAGAGGCCGGAACATAATGTACATGTATGCATTGTCGACTCCGTTGTTCAAAATGACACACAAGATAGTACGAGTGACTCCCACGACCGTATATGTACAGTTCATAAATAAGACTCTAATTTCATGATAATCTTTTATTTATAAAAACAGATGCGCCCGGTAAGTACATATGTAAGTCAGCAGTTTTTATTTAGGTCGCGATCAAAAAGAGGACGCTTTGCAATGTGCATAACATTGATCTGTAGATATGGAACATCTCTTCTTCACATTTAAGTCTAGTTTACTTTATTGTATGATCATTTCATAATTAATTTGATGTACGAGGTAGGCCCGTTTACAGTATTTTCTTATTTTATATGCACACATTACTGAAATTATAAAGTTAGAAAACAGGTTTTTCTGCCAATTGGTCAAGAATCACGGTAGATTTTTATATAAAACATATATAGCCTTTGTGAAAAATGGTTTAGCGGTGACGATTCGCTTTATTTAGCCTAAGTAAAATTTTTTAAGTCTGACAAAAGTGCTGAAGTTCATACCAGAACGATTCAGTACATGTGCATTACGTCTGCCCTAGAGCTACTTTGTCCTAGTTCCTTCAGCAAAATGGATAACAACTCCACCTGTAAAATTTTATCAAAATTCAGAGAGAGGGGAAGAGTGATAAAGAAATAGAAAGAGACGTGCACGGAGATTCGAGCTGTACTTCATACTACCAGCATTGCTTCTTTGACTCATAAATATACAGTAACATTAAATGTGTATGTCGTTCAATGGAAATTGTGCGTATGTCTGAATATTTAACCTAAAAAGCAAAACGTTGACTCTGGACGGCGTGATTCCGAGTTGTATAACTGACATTAACTTCTACGTCTGTACTACAAGAACCAGTATGCATACAGTTTCCGTCACCAATGGTAAATGTAATTAAGTTTCCGAAAAACGCTATAACTCAAAGTAGAAGTCCTATAAGTGCTCCATTTAATCCAAGAACCAGTTACACGCTTGTGTATATACAGTATGTTTGTTTTTGCATGAAGAAGATACAGGGAGATACAGGAATGGTAGTCCGCTAGAAGCCGTAGTCCGTCCACCATTACTCTGAACAGGTGACGTTCCGTCCATATACTTACCCCAATATTCAGACTAACCCTAACCTGTTCTAACCATATGGGATTCCGGACTTCAATTCCTGTCACGACGGCAGTAGAGATCATCACATCTTTGTATCAATATCACAGTTTTCGTCCTATTGTTACCCATTCTGATATGCCACACCACGCACCACGTACTATTCCTAATTACTATGAATTCAATGTCATTTGCTCGTACTTATATACCCATGATAAAGTTAATTTCTACCTCTTTCTTAGTCATTCTGCCTTAGGTCACAATGCGTGCAACGTACCTAAAATACTGTATAAAATGTAGTTTTCTTGTGTATATATATGACGATTTTTGAGTAATAAAATATGGCTGTTATGCACTGAAAACCCACAGCATTTCAAGGAATGCTGTATAATCACTATTTTTGTAATTATCTCAATTCAATTATCCGATGTTTCATGTAAGTTGAAAATTTCACTTTTCATTACCTGTATAACAATTTTACAACACTTCTTAACAGCTAAGCATTCAAAGTAAGTTGCTTGTACTATTTATGATAACAATACGTTTCTTGTAAGTTAAGTTGTAGATATTCTCTTTTATCTCTTTTACCGTTCGCAGAACATATATAAAGATTACCATTTAAAATATTTTCAAAATATTTTACATCTAGAACTAACGAAAAGAGGATACTTTGCCAGACATAGATTCGGTTTAAAAATAAAAAAGAAACATATATATCCTAACAAAAATATATGGCTTGAATATAAAGAAAGGCATAGAAATATTCGTAATTTCAACTAGAAGTTAAATAAAACACGTTGTTTTTATAAGTGGGACCCACGTCACTCTAATGATGAAGAAAAACATCATACATAATTTGGTAACTATGTACATAACATAAAAAGGAAAACCTTTTAATCTAAAGTTCAAAAAGTTCACAGCAGTCTTTCTCCATATTTTTAAAGTCCTACCTTAATACTCATCAATCGACCTGGATAGATTAATTTACATCAAAACATTAACTTTAAAAAAACTTTCGGTAAGACAAGGCCATCGAAACGGTTTATCTTAAGTTTAATAACAGACACGAAATAATCACTCAAACATAAAAAACATAACAAGCAGTCTGATCTATAAAATCACATTTGGTGGTGTCCAATCAATATATTTGGTCATCAATATATTTGCTGAATTTACATTTGCACGAAGAATTCAAGCTCCAGTTAATTTAATGATTGGACTAATACTCAGTAAAAGATATGGGGAACGATATATAAACACATAAGGTCTAATCACTTTCTTGAATACATAAGCATTTAACGACAATCTCTTCTATATATACAAAAGCTGCAATCACCAGGCACTGTTTAAGAAACTAACAATGGATACACATTCAGAGTTAGATATAAATCACTTTACATTCATTTGACTTAAAACACCAATTAAAGGAAACTTGCTTCACAGGCCCATAGTCAGCAATTTCAAAAGGGGGGTTCTTTTTCTGATAAAGTGGACCTTTTTCCATAAAAACTTCATGTACCTAGATCAAATTTTTGATCTTTTGAACCCCCTGAACCCCCCTGGCTACGGGCCTGCTTCAGCAAAGTAGAGATTTGGTCATAAAGGGCACGAAGGTGAGATTGAATGCATCACAGCGATAAATGAGAACTGGTGTGACAAGAATGGTAGTCCGCTAGGAGCCATAGTCTGTTCCCCATTACTTTGTACAGGTGACATTTGTCCCATATACTAATCCCAATACCTCGACTAACCCTGACCTGTACTAATCATATGGGAGCCCGGACTTCCATTGCTAGGACTGCCACCCCTGCCACGCCGGCACACTGTGGCCATTTAAGTCTATCTGCGCCAGATGAATTAACGTTGGAGTGGGGTGTTAGTATCATCTGTGCCCGGGTATGGGGGAGGGGGTGCATCATTACCGGCTCCTTTCGCGGGATCCAGTGGTGGTGCCTCTGCATTGGGTAGCGATCCTGGTCCAAATGGGTTATTGGGAGGTGGAATTCCTGGTCCAAACTCCGTGTTTGGCGGCTGTTGAGAGGGAATTCCTGGCCCATACCCTGTATACGGTGGCTGTGTTCCTGGGCCATAAACCGCATTCGGCTGAGGTATCCCTGGTCCATACGCTGTATTTGGTGGTGGCGGGGCGTACCCGACTGGGTAACCTTGCGTGTTCAACATTACTATGCCGTTACCTGGGGGTCTGGTCACTGTAAAGAAATTTACAGCATCCACTGTACTAACAGTAATTGGCATCCGTTTTGTGACAATACTTTAGGTTCTGATAAATATACATACTCAGGAAACACATTGGAACTCACGAATTATAGTACGGCCATGAATACTACCGGTACACTGTACATGTAGTAGTTCAAGATGCAATTATGTCTCGATTACAACTCTTTTCTCTTTGTTGCTCTTTACAGCGCATAAGGAAATGTTTCATTTCATCATTCCAGATGCAGTAGCCTACCCGATACAGAGTTCGTTGAATTTTGTAGCCCAGTGGCGTTTCTAGAACTCGACCCCTTTTGCTATGGCCACATGTTTTTTTTTTGTTTTTTTTTTTTTTGTTTTTTTTTTATTCACGAAAATTAATACAAGACACTTACAACACAATAAGAGACAGAAACACCTTCCACACACCATTCACACACTACAAACAAAGTTCTTACAAATGTTGATTAAAAATACAGGTAGATTTTTTTTTAGATAAAAGAATCTGAGTAGGCCTAGGCTACCACAAATGTTCTTTTCTATTCATATCAATATTTTTTCTATACTGTCCCATTTTTTTCGTAGATTATCTGCCTTTTGAGGCTAGGGCCACATGTTAACCACGTTTAGCAACCCTTTACGTCTCGTCATCCTCCATCATGTACTTTAAGAATATCACCAATGCTTCTTCTGTTTTGCCCTCCCCCCTCCCCCACCCCACATAGGACCACGTGAGTGTTTCTTCTCTTACCCGTTCCTCTTCTTTGCCCACAGCGTCCGGTTGCGCAGCAGATGACGACTCCTATGATGACACACAGGGCGATGAAACCGACTACAGAGCCAACTATGGCACCGGTACTATTAAGAAATTTTACCAGTCTGAATCAGCAGGATATATTATAAGGAGAACGGCTTCTTCATTATGCAAAACGAACAAAATGCAATGACCCTAGAATTACATTGATTTTTATAGCACTATTTCATGTTGAAAGCCTACCAAGTGAAATGAAAAATTAACATGATGGCAGAGAGAGAGAGAGAGAGAGAGAGAGAGAGAGAGACTGTAGATGATTTGAAAGAAAAAAATATATACGTACACATTTATGATGCCTGATGTATTGCTCAAAGTCCAGCTGCCCCAGTTACTCCAGCTATTCCAGGGGTTTGAGGGGGTGGGGCACGAGGAAACATAGGAATAGCTTCTGTAATATCTGCTAGAGTACGAGGAACAGCAGTATTTACTGGTAGATGTCCCGCAGCAGTACTGGGGACAGTAGAAAGAGCTTCTGTAACTGCCATATGACGTGTAATATGCGCAGCAGTATTCTCCTGAACTTACTGTAAATACAAAGGTCATGGAAAGGTCAAGGTCAGAACTTAAATGGTCGTCTCTTAACAAAGGGTGCCGTGGGAACGTTGATGGTAGGTTACATTTACCAGTATATACACTGACCAAATGAAAAATTACATCGATTATTATTATTATTATTATTACAAACCCACCTATTGTGGTGGTAGGTGGAGTGGCGAGCGGACATTACCAGCTATAGGTATAACACCCAAAACATCTGCTTAAAGGGATAATAACTCTTCGTTTTGGCCAAATTATGAATTTTCCTGAAGTAAACAACAATTTTCCCATACTTACTAATGGTTAATGAATCCATTTTTACATTCAAAGTTAGTCCCTGTTTTTTTTTCTTAAAAGTTTTTTTTTTGTTATAATCTCTTAATTAAGAGATTATACAGAGTATAACCATCGATACAGGTCACGTAGTCTGATGACAAGCTCAGATATCACAATAATAGCTATAACGGCCGTTTTTGTGGTAAAACAGAATATATTATATTTCTATTAGTTGTTCACAATGTTTTTATTGTGAAATACAGGTCTCATACGAAGAGTTACATTAATTATCCCTTTAAGTACGAGGAACATGCCTGATGTAGTGCTCGAAGTCCAGCTGCTCCAGCTGCTCCAGCTACTCCAGGGGTTTGAGGGGGTGGGGCACGAGGAAACATAAGAATAGCTCCTGTAATATCTGCTTAAGTACGAGGAACAGCAGTATTTACTGGTAGATGTCCCGCAGCAGTACTGGGGACAGTAGAAAGAGCTTCTGTAACTGCCAGATGACGTGTAATATGGGCAGCAATATTCTCCTGAACCTACTGTACGTACTGTAAAGACAAAGGTAAAGCTCATTAAAAAAATGAAGGTCAAAACTCAAATGGCCCTACCACACCGTTTTCAATTAACGTCGAAGATAGCAAACCTGTACCAGTACATAAAACTGACAAAGTGAAAAATGCATTCCTCTCTTATTACATACGAACCTGTTGTTGTAGTTGTACTGGTGACGGCGGGGCAGAGTGAACTAAATGAATAACTCGGGTAGTATCTACTATAGGACGAGGTACAGCAGTATTTACTGGTAGATATTCCGCAGCAGTACGTGGAACAGTAGCTCAATGGTTTGTAAGTGCCATATGACGTGTAATAAGGACAGCAATATTCACCCCCGCTCACTGGAAACATTTATAAGATGGGCTAAAGTAAGCGTCAAGTTAAAAAAAAAGAACCTTATCAAATTATTACTTCCATTTTTATACTGTTTTATATCTGTTACATGTACCTGTAGCACGTTTCATTAAATCAAGGAAACATATAGACGTTTTAACGTTACTCTTAATAATATATATAAAAAAATAATGTTTTTTAAAGAGTTTTTAGTAAAAAGATGGACACCAAGCCAGGAAGCAACCCCACACGGAACTCACTTCAATACTCTTGACTTTTTTCATATAAGGCTATGATAAGAAGGATTCCTTCTTACTTATTAGTAATAAAACCAGTAAATCTTTACAGCTCAATTTGTTCTCAATTTGAGGTCGATTGTTTGCCAGCAACCCCACATACGAGTTCTAAAAAAGTGACTATTCTGCATTTTCTTAGTCAGAAGAAGAAAATAGAAAAATACATCGCTATAAAGACAGGAAAAGAAGATAGGTTTAATACAAAATGGAAACGCATTCCATTACCATAACGTGTTTTAAAAGTATCCACCTCTAGTACGTTATAGTTGCCGATATGTAGCTCACAACAAGCATGTATACGTGTAGTATGGATGGGTGGATGAGCGAGTGAAAGTATTTCTATATATTTATGTTCTTTTTTATTTATCAGTATTTAATTACCGTAATTATTATCAGTATTATATTTATATTTAATCTTTGATTATCTGTCTAAATATTTCATTATGTATGTTATAGTTGCCGATAAAAAAAGGTAGGACTATAAACAAACATACCTGTTCATATAGGGTCCTATTTTTTAGATACAATGAGTTCTAGTATTCGATGGCTTACTTAGTTATTCAAATATTAATCCATCTTTGTATCCAGCTGAAGTTACCGCTATATATTATAAGATTAAATCCTTAGATCACAGATAAAATTTTCATCTACTGTGGTATATACCCCCAGTACGCCTACAGTAGCCTACTGTAATTGAACATGTAGCCTACGCATAACTTCTCATCTTATAACTCAAATGCTGTGGCATGATTTTATAAAAATCATTGTAAGCTGAGACCTACATGAATGTGCACGAATCTAAACTAATAAAAAACAAACTTTCGGTCCCAAAGTGGCCAAGTCCTGAGTCAAAAAGCACAGGCCCGTGTCCAGCAATTTTAAAGGGAGGGTTTTTTTATTTAAACAGTGGACCTTTTCTCATAAAACTTTTGTGTATCTAGATCAAAAATTACCCAGAGCGGACCTTTTTCGAGCAAAAAGTGCGGTAGGTTCCACTCCCTCCCCCCTGCCCCCCCCCCCCCCCCACACACACACACAGCAACGCGCCTGTAGCACGAAACTTTCCTTCACACGCGGCGAATTTATCAAATGCGACAGATGTATTAATAGGCCTCGAAATCGAAAATCGTCCCGAAGAGCCACAGAAAAAAATGAGAAGGTACGCCTACAGTGAGATCATTTGCCCTTCTAAACCAGGTACACTTCCTGGTTCGACTTCTTTAACCGTTTGGATCTGTATCTAAGACCCAATTCCCACAGATTTTAGATTGATTTATCCCTATGGGGAGTCTCACTAGATTACTGTCAGCTTTACCGGCTTAAATGTCTGTCCCTCCTACTAAAAACTGTAAGGGGGTAATTAACTGACTGCAATTTAGCTTGAACCCCCAGGGAGTTAGGTCGATCTAAATCTAAATATCTGGATCGATCTAAATCTCTGGGAATGCACCCTAAGACGCTAAGGGAGGATTTACATCTGTAATCACAGACCCACTGTAGATTATATTTGTTGTTGCCTTAACCTATTCATATTACAAACAGATGTACAGGTGAACGCAGACGTGACCAACTCCAGTAGGCCTACTCAATTGATGAAATATGAGTCATCTTCGACACATCGTTCTTGCACAATCCAGGATGTATAGGCCCCTACTACTTAATTATTAATGCTAGCAAGGTCACTATTTGATTAAAGTAGTTATCGTAGCAATATGTAATTTAATACTGGTGATCTGGAATTTAACATACATATAGAAGAAACCCCTTCCCCTCCCATCTGTGTCCTTCCCTCCTATAACCCCAGGGGAATGTTTATAGGCGTATCCCACTACACACAATTCGGGGGTTGCTTGCCTGATCAGTTTCCAACTTTCAGTGTGGGCGGGAAAGTAGATGTATAGGCCTACATTAGCATAAAAGTGAATACACAATTGATAACACGGCTTGAAAACAGTTAAAGTGTGGGGTGGCGAGATGCGTTTTCGACAGGTGCGACAGGAATGGTCGTCCCAGAAATGGAAGTCCAGGGTTAGTCGGAGTATTGGGGTTGGTAGCCTATGTGGGCCGAATGTCACCTGTACATAGTAATGGGCAACGGACTACAATTCCCGTCACACCGGCTATTATACACTCAACCATGGGATCGATATCTGTCGGTTAACTAGATCGACCGTAGTTAAAACTCCATGTCCACTTCACGTCCTTCCGAGACGCTATTTATTATAATTTTTCGTAACCATAATTTTTTTAAACCTAATTTTTTGCCTAATTATAACTTACATATAGAAGAAAAAACATACAAAAAATGGACCTTGTAACTTTTTTACTTTTGAAAATATTTTCATTTGAAGTGTCAAATGTCCTTCCATAACAGCAAAGAAATACCACGGAATGGCCCAGTATCAAAACACATTTGTAGAGATGTTAGTTTTTTAAACACAAATGTTTGTGATCTCCGTATATATAGGTCTACCAGTGTGAAATTGGGCACTTTACAATTATCGCTGAAATAGATGGACCTACAGCGTAGGCCTATACTGTATATAGAACCCATTTTACTATACGCACCTGTGTGTATTGCCAGCAACGTAAACAAACAAGCCAACATGGCCTTAAATTGGACAGCCATGTTGTTGATAGCGAAACCTGCAGTTCTTTTATTTTATCCAAAAGCACGGTGGCTTCTAGGTGTTTTGGTGTGATTGCTAGACCCTTAAATCCTAATTCGATGTACTGGACTATCCTTATGAGCCGTTAAAAACGCAGTGTAAGTCAACTGATGTAGCCCCCGAATCTTGGTCTCACGTTCAGCAAATGGGTCATGCAGTATTATACACGGATTTATAAAAACAGGTTCGCCAGGTAAGTAGGTATGCAGTTTTTATTTAGGTCGCGATCAGAAAGAGGGCGCTTTGCAATGTGCATAACATTGACCTGGGGATATGGAACATCTCTTCTTCACATTTAAGTCTAGTTTAATGTATAATCATTTCATGATTAATTTGATGTACGAGGTAGGCCCGTATACAATATTTCCTTGTTTTCTAAGCAAATTATTATTGAAATGAAGTCTCAAATGAAAGGATAAAATATAATCAAAAAATTAATAAGATATTAATGTGATTTTGTTAAGGTTGTTTATGAAATAATTTTCAATGTCTAGGATACATGCTCAACGGCTGTGCACTTGTTTACAGTTTATATTGTTGACAAAATGTTTTCAAGCAAGTTCAAAGATATAAATTTTCGAAAGCAACCTAAAAGCAATCGATTTGCAAGATTAAAATAAACAGCTATTTCTATAGCTTGCTAAAACGTGATTTCTGAATTTTTCATTTCGTTTAAACGCAGCAGCAAAGCATATCTTCGCATTTATGTAATGCATAATTTCGAGGCTAATTTGCCATTACAATTTGAAGGAATACATTTAGTGTATACAAACTGGAGGCACTTCCTGGGATAATTACTTTACAGTAGCCAGCCTTGCTGTGTTTTTTTTTTTTTTAATTTTAGTAGATCCACCGGTACATGCATAAAAGTCAAACAAATGCGAAAGAAATCATAAAACACGGTTATCCTTACAGCAATTTATTAAAGCCCCAATTTGACTCTGAAGTGAGTCTTCGAGGTGAATGTTTTTTATTATTTTTTTTCGATTTGGCTGTATAAGAGACCGTTCCCAGAGGCTATCGTACTAACTTTAGATCGAACTATCTCCAAGGAGGTTCTCGCTTAATTGCAATTAACTTTAGGGGTAGGCGTGACAGGCATTTAATACGGTTTAGTTGATAGCAATTTAGTGAGACTCACCAGGGAGTTAGACCGGTCCAGATGGATAGATATAGGTATGGAACCAAGTCTAATTTTACTTTTCTTCAGAACAGGTAAAACTTTGTCAGGTGGCATCAACCTCTAACAACCTCTAACCTCTTGACATTAGAATAGGACTTAGTTTCAGTTGCGTAGTTTAAGAGTATCTCACCACCACCATGAAAGCATCATTACGAAATACACTGAGACCAGAAGGCACTGTAAAGCCCCCGTCACACTTATTCGGAATCAGCAGTAATCAAGCAGAATGAGCCATAATGAAGAATTTTCAAAATGTGCGCCACATTCAGTGGGAAATTTCATATTGACCTTAATTCTTGTAAGAATATATAACAAGCCATATTCGAAGTGATATTTAAAAAATGAAGTGATATTTGAAAAATAGCTTGAAACCAATATCAGATGTAATCTGAAACAAACAAACAAAAAAAATAATAATTAGATTAGTATTCAGCAGCGAAAATGGCCACAGAATCCACTTGTTTGAAATGAAATTTCCAGAAAAATGTACTAGTACCAGTATGCATTTAGTTGCCGTCACCAATGGTAGCTTTCCAGAAAACACTATAACTCGAAGTACAACGAAGTTACATGAGTGCTCCGTTTAATACAAAAACTACTTACACGTTTGTGTATATACAGTATAGTTATGCACTGAAAATCCTGACCCAGAGTATTTCACAGAATGTTGTATAATCACTATTTTTGTAATTGTCTCATTTTTATTATCCGATGTTTCATGTAAGTTAAAATTTTCACATTTCATTACCTGTATAACAATTTTACAACTATTCTTAACAGCTATAATCATTCGAAGTAAGTCCCTTGTCCTATTTATGATAACCATACGTTTCTTTTAAGTTGTAGACATTCTCTTTTACCGTTCGCACAACATAGATAAAGATTAACATTTCAAATATTTTCAAAATATTTTACATCTAGAACGAAAAGAGGATACTTTGCCAGACAGAGATTTGGTTTAAAAATAAAAAGGAAACATATATCGTAACAAAAATATATGACTTGAATTCAAAGAAAGCCATAGAAATATTCATTATTTTACTTAAAAGTTAAATAAAACACATTATTTTGTAAGTGGGACCCACGTCACTTAAATGATGAAAAAACATTCATAATTCGGTAACTTATACATTATATAAAAAGGAAAACCTTAATATCATTTAATTAAAAGTTCAAAAAGTTCACAGCAGTTTTTCTCCATATTTTTTAAAGTCCTACCTTAATACTCATTAATCGACATGGATAGATTAATTTACATCAAAACATTAACTTTAAAAAAACTCTCGGTAAGACAAGGCCATCGAAACGGTACATCTTATGTTAAGTTTAACAACAGACACGAAATAATCACTCAAACAAAAAAATATAACAAGCAGTCTGATATATAAAATCACATTTGGTGGTGTCCAATCACATTTTGGTCATCAATATATTTGCTGAATTTACATTTGCACGAAGAATTCAAGCTCCAGTTAATTTAATGATTGGACTAATACTCAGTAAAAGATATGGGGAACTATATATAAACACATAAGGTCTAATCACTTTCTTGAATACATAAGCAATTGACGACAATCTCTTCTATATACAGAAAAGCTGCAATCACCAGGCACTGTTTAAGAAACTAACACCGGATACACATTCAGAGTTAGACATAAATCCCTTTATATTCATTTGGTTTAAAACACCAATTAAAGGAAACTTGCTTCACAGGCCCGTAGTCAGCAATTGTGACAAGAATGGTAGTCCGCTAGAAACCATAGTCCGTTCCCCATTACTTTGTACAGGTGGCATTCGTCCCATATACTAACACCAATACCTCGATTAACCCCAACCTGTACTAATCATATTGTTATGTACCTTTACATATACATATGAGATGAATGTCCTAAACTAATATAATTTTGTACGCTTAATTCAAGCGTGGGCTCGAAATTTGCTTCCATTCCCTTGACTACCACTCCTGCCACACCCGGCACACTGTAGTCATTGAAGTTTATCTGCGCCAGATGAATTAACGTTGGAGTAGGGCGTAAGTATCATCTGTGCCTGGGTATGGGGGAGGGGGAGCATCATAACCGTCCAGTGGTGCTGCTTCTCCATCGGGTGGCGATCCTGCTCCAAATGCGTTACTGGGAGGTGGAATTCCTGGCCCAAGCTCTGCGTCTGGCGGCTGTTCAGGGTGACTTCCTGGCCCTGTATACGGTGGCTGTTTTTCTGGTTCATAAGCCTCATTCGGTTGAGGTATTCCTGGCCCATACGCTGTATTTGTTGGTGGTGGGGCGTACCCGACTGAGGAATCTTGCGTAGTCGGCGGCGTGTTCAACGTTGCTATGCCATAACCCGGGGGTCTGGTCACTGTAAAGAAATTTACAGCATCCACGGTAGTAAACAGTAATTGACATCCGTTTTGTGACAGTACTTTAGGTTCTGATAAACGCATTAGAACTCACAAATTAGTACGGCCGTGGATACTACCGATACACTGTACATGTAGTAGTTCAAGATGCAATTATGTCTCGTTTACAACTCTTTTCTCTTTGTTGCTCTTTACAACGTATACCATACACTGTAACAATAATGGCAAAACAGTGTTTGATTTCAGCATTCCATGATACAGCAGCCTACTCGGTAAAGGGTTTTGTTGAATTCTGCAGCCCAGTGACGTTTCTAGAACTCGACCTCCTTTGCTAGGACCACGTGTTAACCACGTTTAGCAACCCTTTACGTCTCGTCATCCTCCATCATATAATATCCATTATGCGTCTTTGCGTCTTTTGTCCTGCTTTACCCCCCTCCAAAAAAAAAAAAAAAAAAAAAAAAAAAAACACGTGAACGTGTTTCATTCTGTCTTACCTGTCCGTCTCCTTTTTCCACAGCATCCGGTTTTGCAACCAATGGCGACTCCTATGATGACACACAGGGCGATGAAACCGACTACAGAGCCAACTATAGCACCGGTACTATATATAAAGAAATGAAAGAAATTATATCAGTCTGAATCAGCAGGATATATTATAAAGAGCACGGCTTCTTCATTATGCAAAACGATCAAAATGTAACGATTATGATTATTGAATTACATTTATTTTGATAGCACTATTACATGTCGAAAGCCTATCAAGTGAGTTAAAGAATTAACATAATGAGAGAGAGAGAGAGAGAGAGAGAGAGAGCAACTGAAGATAATTTGAAAGAAAAAATGTATATGTACACATTTATGCTGCCTGATGTAGTAGTCGAGCTGCTCCAGCTAATCCAGGTATTTAAGGGGGCGGGGCAGTTTATAAGAGAGGTATAACTCCTATAATATCTGTTATAGGATGAGGTACAGCAGTATTTACTGATAGATGTCCCGCAACAGAACTTGGGACAGTGGAAGTAGCTTCTGAACCTGCCAGATGACGTGTAATATGCGCAGCAATATTCTCCTGAATTAGCTGTAAATACAAAGGTAATAGAAAGGTCAAGGTCAGAACTTAAATGGTGGGAACCATAACATAACAAAGGGTGGGAACGTCGATAGTAGATAACATGCACCAGTATACACACAGACCAAATGAAAAATTTAATCGATTATCATTATTATTACAAACCCACCTGTTGTGGGGGTGGGTGGAGTGGCGAGCGGGCATTACCAGCTATAGGTATAACTCCTATAATATCTGCTTGAGTACGAGCAGGGAATTATATCAGATATAATTCCCAGGTACGCGGAACAGCAGTATTTACTGGTAGATGTCCCGCAGCAGTACTGGGAACAGTAGAACGAGCTTCTGTAACTGCCAGATGACGTGTAATATGCGCATGCAACAATGTTCTCCTGAACCTACCGTACGGACTGTAAATACAGAGGTGGAAAAAATGAAGGTTAAAACTCAAATGGTCCTACCACACCGTTTTCAATTAACGTCGAAGGTGGCAAACATGTACCAGAACATTGTATACTGACGAAGTGAAAATTTTGTTCCACTCTTATTATATACGAACCTGTGACGGCGGGGCAGTTCCATGTAAACGGATAACTGTCTGTCATGAGTCTCCAATGAGACGTTTCACAGCAGTATTTACTGAAAGACGTCCCGCAGCAGTATTGCTCACAGTAGAACGCTGGTGTGTAAGTGCCATCTTCTGTGTAATATGGGCAGCAATAATCACCCCCGCTCACTTGAAAAATTAAGAAGATGGGCTAAAATTATAATTTTGAATGTTATGCTGTTTTGTACTCAGTAAATGTTACTAGTAGCATGTTTCCTTAAATGAAGGAAACATACAGACACTTTGCATGATTAATGTACCACCCTCTTCCCTTCCTTTATTTTTATCGTTTTTTCATTTAACCATTTTAATGATTTAAATGTATCTACATTTGATTATATTTGCGCAAGATATTGTTTAAGAAAATAGAGAGTCTGTGTTCTATTTTCGTACTCATTTGGTCTTATTGTACATCCTTCATTCTTTGTAAATATTTAATAATTTTAATATTTATATTTAAAATATTTCATTATTATTATTATTATTATTATTATTATTATTATGCATGGTCATACAGGTAGCATAGGCAGCAGGAAGCATCCCCATATATGGACCTCACTTCAGTACCCGTTACTTTTTTTAATTTTGGCTATCCCTATCCGGTATTTCTTTACAGCTTAATTTCTTTTCAATTGCAGTTGTCGATGAGTTTTTGTGTCATTTGGGCAGGTAGCTCGCGGTAACGTGAGTCAATCTTTCGGGTGGATGAGACAATAAAATTATAGAGATGAAGTATAAGTACAATTTGTTCTGTCAATTTGGAAACTATGTGAGAATTTGATATGTTTATTCACGGAGGAATTCAAAATGCCCTATGTGGTAAAGGCAATCTTGTTTGTTGCCGTAAAATGAGCATTCAAAATTGTACAATTGTAGTGTAGTATACTTGTTTTCAGCTATGACCTGATTGGAAAATATATTTAGAGTCAAGCTTTTCTCTCTTTGTGAGAATTAAGCCTGAGACGCGGCAATAATGAAACCTTCAATCGTGTCTTGAATTAAAATGACGCAATTCCTCTCCGATTTATTCAACTCGCTGACAGCGTTTTAGGTCTGTTATTTTTTACGTACGGTTTAGATAAAGGTGGCATTTACACTGCTGTGTGCTATATGAATAGGTTTATGTTACTTGCTTAGGTGAGCCCGAATTATGTAATGATAATTAATAATTTAAACATTCAATATGGGCTCTCGTTGCAATGGGGCATCAAACACGCATTCGTGACCCACAAAAACGCACCTGTGGGTCTTTTAATATTGTTTAACAAAGTTGACATTAACACTGCTCTGAAGTATATATATATATATATATATATATATATATATATATATATATATATATATATATATATATTACCGGCTACGATCTGCTCCACTTTGAGAATGATAATTAATAGTTTTTCATCTTTAAATTGGAGTCCCTTAACAGCATAGAGACGATTGACAAACACCCTCATTGGTCTTTTAATTCAAGTATAAATGTGGACATGTACACATGCAAACTTCGTGAATATATTTACTTGGGTAATGGTCATAAAAGTGGATCTTGATCATTTTTGTGATTTAAGTCTCACCTCTGTAATTGGCTTGCTACATTGCATTATCTTGTTATCAGATACGTTTGGATAGCATCTCATTATGTCCATGATTCAAGTGAGATTGTGAATAAAAATCTATTTCACCATTGTTTCGTATCTACAGTACATGTACTGAATATATTTGTGTTCAAAATTCGCCACAAGCTTATCAAAACTTTTGAATTAACAAAAACACAACACCGCGTTTCTGGATAAGAATAAAATATCATTAAAGGATTCTAGACACGTAAAAATCCATTACTCGAATTTTGAAGATTCAGCACTCAATCTTACGGTCGGCATGACGTCACAAGATGGCCACCACGCCCCGACTAGGGTAAAACAATCAGTTAGCCCCATTACTCCCTACGTTAAAATGATGAAATTTGATCGTTTGTATCTCTGACACCGGTAGATAATAAAGCTTGACAACTGTTTGATTATATCAACATAGGCATTCAGTGTCAGGAAATGGCCATCAAGTACCTTTTCTAGGATTGATGCAGATTTTATTAGCGATTGAAATTCACCTCTCTTACACTGTAATCATATGAGCTGCAATGACAGTTCTGATTGTTTTTCAGGTAAGGGGTTGCAATGGCTTTGTTATCAAATAAATCTGTCCACTGATAGCGATGGTACAGAACTTACCTGGATCTTTAAACAATCATAGAGCCCTTTGAGGTGGTTTATTTAGAAGAAAGTGATTTTATCTGTGGACGTCATTATAGTGAATAGAACTAAAACAGATATGATCTTTACAGGTGTGGTTATTGTATTTGTCTTTGAAAAGGAATTTTAGATTTTGACAACTTAAAAGTATTAAAAAGGGGCTCTCATTCAGAAATAAAGAAAAATAGAATATTTAGAGAGCATTATTGCTGTTTTTCAAATTATTTCCAGTTATGAAAACTTAAGATAAAACTTGTAAGCTATTGGTGATTATTGCCCCCCCTTCCAGTAGCATTAAAGCTGAGTGAATTTGGTTAAAACTTTTTGTTTAATTGGATAATTATGGATGAATCTATTTATGAAAAATGATTTTGGCAGGCCTCTAGTTAAATATTTTTACGTTTTTGCAGAAATTATAAAGGGTGAAAAAGTATTTTACAGTCTCTTCAAACATAATCCAGGCAACAGAAGAAAATGAAATTTAAATGAAAAACATAGCATTGACAAATAAAACTTCTTTGTGAAAGCAAATTAATTGCATTACTACTTTGAACACGACAAGCAATGCTACCCAAGCCCACTTTTCTAGCTTATCAAATCTTTCAAATTGAGACTTCTAAAAATAATATGAATATGATGACTTTCTTTATTTAGATAATGATTTTATTAAACAAGAATTCCGACTGTATATTAAGGAACTGGTACGTATTGGTCATAGTGTCCCAGTAGGAAAAATTGCTTTAAAAATCGTACACCACCATCATTGATAAAGTCGCCACTGACGCTAGAAAATCCCTTTGATGGCTATTTCCTTGAGCTTAATACGTAGGCTAAGTAAGGCCACACTTTTTTTATTTTTATGGATGACATCCTGCGCGCGCACCGATTTTCGTCCGTTCTCCAAAAAAAAAAAAAAAAAAAAAAAACCCTCCCCCCAAGGAGGTCGGTTGTCGCAAACGTCGTTATTGAATTTGCCAGAAAATGCAATCGGCAATCCTCGGCNTATATATATTCATGACTTTTTACCTTTCTACGAAGTAGGCCCTATTCACAATGCTTTAATATTTTGAGAGCATGGATAAAGACATATTGTTAGTTTGATACGTGTTTCTGTGGTAAATTAGTGTTTCCAGCTGTGTACTGAAAACATAACTTTTCTTAAGCAGTTTTTTTTTTTTTCGGACTGTTTTTTTTTTTTTTCGCCCGCTCGCACCGATTTTGGGGTCCCCAGAGGATGTCATCCATAAAAATAAAAAAGTGTGGCCTAAATATCAACAAACAGTTGTCACGCGTATTTGTTTACAGATATACTCGATACAGACGATAAAACATGCCTATTAAGTAAATACAACATGTATCTGGTGTAAACGGATAGTAATGGGCGCAAGCTTATGTTTTACCCTTATCCTAAAATGAGAGCCTCGTTCTGGGTTAAGTAGGCCGGAAACCGACTGCAAGAATACACTAGAGATATGTTTTAATCGATCCCCACCTTTTGAAATGTATAAAAACAATCTATTGGTAGTAAAAAGCGTGTTTATTAACCTCACCTCAATATGCCAAAAATGAAGCAACAGATCTGGGTCACGTGGTACTTTGACGAAAAAGACCATAAAGGTTTTTGAGACTCAGCTGAGCTGCATACAGACTAAATACAGACAGAGAAGTTTAGGAAAGTTGTGTTGTAGGGGTTGGGCAATTTTCGTTATGCCTCGGTGTGTTGCCGTGGGATTCACCTAAAAGTAGCACTCGTTGACAATCTTCTTTCTTTGACTGTGACGGTCTTCCGTGAATTATTAACTAACTTCGGTGACAATAGATGTGATACTCGAGAATATGGTCGCCTCAAGTGGTTTAGATCATATCAAAAGTTGAAAGTCTTTCAAATTAACTGTCATCATTTGACAAGCTTACTAGCAGTTAACTGCTGATGTATTTTAAATGCATGATAGTTGACTAATAGCTAGTCTACGATAAAACCTGTTTATTACGCACCGCCGCACTTCCCAAGCCAGGTAATAACAGGTAACTCAACCTGTCACATTCTTGGTTGGCTTTAATATTTTTTAAATATATATCTTTTATTTCATGGGGTAATGGTATTGGTATTTTTAAATAACGTTTAATATGGATATTTAAAATAAGTGAGTTCAAACACGGTCGCGAGCCTTAATGACAGTGATTGCTCTCGGGGTATCTTGAAGTATGCGTATGCCCAGGCATTACTTCTGTGGAAGAAAAACGTGGTAAAGGTAAAACTCGACCACGTGCATTTTAAAGCCTAAAATTTACCAAATGAGCTTTTAATTTGTGTATTTGGATAAAGATATCGTTAGTTGGACATGTTTTCTGAAGAATATACTCCGTTTAGGTCATTCCGACGAGTTGGCGAGAAATCTTTAATGAATGTGAAACAATTCACTATATGTCCATATTTAATTATTTAGGTCATTACAGTAGATATATTTGAGAGGTGATACAAATAAATCATCTGTAAGAAAAAAGAAGAAGATGCACAGTCATCATAATTTTCCAATGGTTTTGAATGAATTGTTTTTAATTTTGAGTCACCTATCTTATACGGAAAATAGCTAGAAACTGGTTGAATCATTCGTGAAAGTATAAACAGAAATGTAGGACGTAAAAACGGATTAAGGAATTTCGCAACGGTTTTTGGTAGGAATAAACCTTAGTGACCAAGGTAATATGTATTTCATTGATCAAAAGGATAACTTTACTGTACAAAATGTACATGTACCGAGTACGAACCTTTTGTCGCAGTTGGGCATAACCAACTATAGGAATAACTCGGGTAGTATCTGTCATAGGACGAGGAACAGCAGTATTTACTGGTAGATGTCCCGCAGCAGTAGTCGAAACAGTAGAACGAGCTTCTGTAACTACCAGATGACGTGTAATATGGGCAGCAATATTCGCTCCCGCTCACTGGAAAAGTAAAAAAGATGGGCTAAAATAAGCATTAAACTAAAAAATAAATATGAACTTGATCAAATTATTATTGTGAATGTTATGCTGTTTGGTAACTGTCACTAGTAACATGTTTCATAAAATCAAGGAACCATACAGACGCTTTATACAGACTTGACATTTAATATGGAATATTTCAGTTTCGAAGGTGTGCCTAGGTAGAAATGCGTTCTTTTTTCAAAAAACTAAGATCTCATATAAGATATGTGAATGGAGAAGTGTGAAGTCAGGTGTGTCGCTTCCAATTAACTGAATACCAGGTTTGTTACGCTGCTGCATTATGTAATATGAAGTAATTTAATTGGATAGTGCTCCTTAGGGCAGGTCAAAGCTTGGCTTTGGCGAAGCACGGTTCTGTCAGAAATGTATCCATATGTCGGCAACTACTGCATAGAAGAATTTGAAATTTTGCATGCAAGTGGTCGGTTTTGCAGTGTGTAAAATGAGCTATGCAGTGCTTTGCAAGTTTGTTAATCTGTGGCAAAATGGCGCGAAAAAGACAGACATTGCCAGACAGTTAATTGCGCCAAACGAAACGGTCCGCACAGTTTTATAGAGTAATGCCCAGACTGATGTACCTACATAGAGGCCACACCCAATGTATTAAAATCTTACCACCAGAGTACAGGACCCACAGTCTTTCAGGATATGCTGTTGCAACTAAACAAAAACCACNCTTTAACTCAATGTTTTCAACGTTGAGGCTTTTTATATGATGTGCTTTTTTTTAAAACAAGGTCATTGCATGTCACTTCCACTTCATTCTAATTTGCCATTTATTTACGCTACACCGATATGAATAAGACAGAACAATCAGACAAAAACACGACACTTGGAGACTTCCATTATCAACCAAAAAAAAAGAAGTACAAGGCATAAAGAATAATAATGAACAAACCAAATCCGTAATTCAATATTGCTACAGTAGCTGCAATAAGTGTACGTGTATTAGCAATTCCATCGTTCTAATGAAAATGACGATTAAAAGAGCTTGCAAGAGAACAATCATGTGAAAAACCATTGACAGTGCATGAAGGATTTTCGACAACGAAAGAGCAAATGTATATAAACACATTTTTCAACAAATGATGAGATACAAATTAGGAATAAGAATAAAGACTTTTGTCGCCAAAAACCTTCCATAGATACCATTAGTCCTAAATTCATGTTTTAAAAAATGTGTGGTTTAAAAACAAGGGTGCGCTCAAGTTTATTGTTGAAGACAAAGCTAGAGGTAAAGTTTGAATGTTATTAACAAAGTATGGAGTAGATCTCTTTCACATAATACCAATTGATGAAGAATCACAAGTCATTCATGCATGAGTGTTCCGTTTAATCCAAAAATTAGTTACACGCTTATGTATATACAGTATGTTAGTATGTATAAAGAAGATACATTGGTCTGACAGGAATGGTAGTCCGCTAGAAGCCGTAGTCCGTTCACCATTACTCTGAACAGGTAACGTTCGTTCTATATACCAACCCCAATATTCAGAATAACCCTAATCTGTACTCATCATATCGGACTTCCATTCCTAGGACTTCCATTCCTGTCATGACGGCAGTGGTGATCATTACATCTTTGTATCAATATCAGTTTTCGCCCCATTGTTACCCATTCTGATATGCCACACCACACCACGCACCACGTACTATTCCTAATTACTATGAATTCAATGTAATTTGATCATATTTATGTACCCATAATAATCATGTTTCTTTTAAGTTAATTTCTCCCTCTAAGTCATTCTGCCTTAGGTCACAATGCATGCCACGTACCTAAAATACTAAATAAAATATATATTTTTTCTTGTGTATATATGATGATTCTCGAGTAATAATATATGGCTGCTATGCACTGAAAACCCTGACCCAAAATCATTTCGCAGAATGCTGTATAATCACTATTTTTGTAATTATCTCATTTTAATTATCCGATGTTTCATGTAAGTTGAAATTTTCACTTTTCATTACCTTTATAGCAACTTTACAACTATTCGTAACAGCTAAGCATTCAAAGTAAGTTGCTTGTACTATTTATGATAAGCATACGTTTCTTGTAAGTTAAGTTGTAGACATTCTCTTTTACCATTCGCAGAACATAGATAAAGATTAACTTTTCAAAATATTTTTCAAAATATTTTACATCTAGAACTAACGAAAAGAGAATACTTTGCCAGACATAGATTTGGTCTAAAAAATAAAAAGGAAAAAAGGAACATATATATCGTAACAAAAATATATGACTTTAATTCAAAGAAAGCCATAGAAATATTCATTATTTTACTTAAAAGTTAAATAAAACACATTATTTTGTAAGTGGGACCCACGTCACTTAAATGATGAAAAAACATTCATAATTCGGTAACTTATACATTACATTACATTTGATTAAAAGTTCAAAATGTTCACAGTATAGTCTTTCTCCATATTTTTGAAGTCCTATCTTAATACTCATTAATCGACATGGATAGATTATTTTACATCTAAATATTTACTTTTAAAAACTTTCGGTAAGACAAGGCCATCGAAACGGTACATGTACTTCTTATCTTAAGATTAACAACAGGCACGAAATAATCACTCAAACATAAAAAACATACCAAGCAGTCTGATATATAAAATCACATTTGGTGGTGTCCAATCACATTTTTATATTTGCTGAATTTACATTTGCACGAAAAATTCAAGCTCCAGTTAATTTAATGATTGGACTAATACTTAGTACGTGTAAAAGATATGGGGAACGATATATAAACACACTTCCTTGTATACATAAGCATTTAACTTCTATTTACACAAAAGCTGCAATCACTAGACACTGTTAAAGAAACTAACACCGGATACACATTCAGAATTAGATATAAATCACTTTACACTCATTTGACTTAAAACACCAATGAAAGGGAACTTCTGTTCAGCAAAGTAGAGATTTGTTCATAAAGGGCACGAAGGTGAGACTGAATGCATCACAGCGATAAATGAGAACTGATATGACAAGAATGGTCGTCCGCTAGAAACCATAGTCCGTTCCCAATTACTTTGTACAGGTGACATTCGTCCCATATAATAAACCCCAATACCTCGCCTTACCCTGACCTGTACTAATCATATGGGACCCCAGGCTTCCATTGCTAGGACTGCCACCCCTGCCACACCGGCACACTGTGGCCATTTAAGTCTATCTGCGCCAGATGAATTAAGGTTGGAGTGGGGTGTAAGTATTGTCTGTGCCCGGGTATGGGGGAGGGGGAGCATCATTACCGGCTCCTTTCGCGGCATCCAGTGGTGCTGCCTCTGCATTGGGTGGCGATCCTGGTCCAAATGGGTTATTGGGAGGTGGAATCCCTGGCCCAAACCCTGTGTTTGGCGGCTGTGGTGGTGGAATTCCTGGTCCAAACTCCGTGTTTGGCGGCTGTTGAGGGGGAATTCCTGGCCCATACCCTGTATACGGTGGCTGTGTTCCTGGGCCATAAGCCGCATTCGGTTGAGGTATACCTGGCCCATACGCTGTATTTGGTGGTGGGGCGTACCCAACTGGGTAACCTTGCGTTGTTGGCGGCGTGTTCATCATTACTATGCCGTTACCCGGGGGTCTGGTCACTGTAAAGAAATTTACAGCATCCACTGTAGTTAACAGTAATTGACATTCTTCTTTTTGTCTACTTTAGTTATAATAAATGTAAATACTCATAATACATGAAACACATTGTCCAGAATCCACGTATCACTGCGTCCAGTACTACACTCTACATGTAGTAGTTCTAGATGCAATTATGTCTCGTTTACAACTCTTTTCTCTTTGTTGCTCTTTAAACAGTATAGCATACAATGTCACAAAAACGGCAAAACAGTGTTTGATTTCAGCGTTCCATGATACAGCAGCCTACCCGATACAGGTTTTGTTGAATTCTGCCGCCCAGTGGCGTTTCTAGAACTCGACCTCTTTTGCTAGGACCACATATTAACCACGTTTAGCAACCCTCTACGTCTCGTCATCCTCCATCATGTACTTTAAGAATATCCCCAATACCTCTTCTGTTCTGCCTCCTCCCAAAAAAAAAAAAAAAAGAAAGAAAAAAAAAGCGTGTGAACGTGTTTCATTCTCTCTTACCTGTTCCTCTTCTTTGCCCACAGCATCCGGTTGCGCAGCAGATGACAACTCCTATGATGACACACAGGGCGATGAAACCGACTACAGAGCCTACTATAGCACCAGTACTATAAAGAAATGTTATCAGTTTGAATCAGCAGGATATATTATAAGGTGCACGGCTTCATCATTATACAAAACGAACAAAATGCAAGCTAGCTAGCTCCCGCACGAAAACGAAGTAGATACTCCGGCGCAGTAGACTACTGCAATCATACTGCAAACATGCTTCAAATCTGCTTCGATTTGGGAGCTAATTAGCATATTTGAAACATGCTTCTATCATGCTGCTAATCTACTGCATTAATGCTCCTCCTCTGTACAACCCTATGTAAATTTTGAAGTAGAATTGCAGTAGGCTATACTGCATTTCTACTGCAAATATGCTCCACACCACTACTGCGTTAATGCTTCTTTGCTACTTCAATACTACTGCATTTTTGTGCAGGAGGGCTCTAGAATAACATTGATATTGATAGTACTATTACATGTTGAAGGCCTATCAAGTTAAATAAAAAGTTAACATGACGGCACGCGCGCACACACAAACACAGAGAGAGAGAGAGATCTAGAATCTCTAGACTATTTGGAAGAAAAAGTATAGGGGAGAGCGGGGTGGGTTGGAACGCGGGTAAGTTGGAACATTGGCTTTATTTCTTAAATCACAAGACCGATCATGTGCTCCTTCAGCATAAAAATGTCATGTGGCATGGTCATTCATCTGGTAAACTTGTGGAAGTTTCGAAAATGCATTAAAAGTTTTATGCGAAAAAAACTTATTTTCGCTACTCGAAGTAAGTTTTCATATTTTTGACATTCATCGTGCTGTAAACTAAAGTATAAGGATTATATCACTGAAATTGTGCAAAGCGTTTAGGACCACCTTGATGTTCAAAAAGCTGTTGTTTTTTTTAATCACTTCCCACGTGTTAAAGAAATACAGTGTCATAAGTAGGCCATGACGTCATGGGGGCTGGTCGGAACATTTGACATGGGGCCAGTTGGAACACTGTCAGGGGTGTTCCAACCCACCCCGCACGGTGTTTTTCATTTTTT